ATTGCTGCCTGCTGTGATGACTAACCATCTTTCGTCTGATAATGATGCTCTCTTTTCTCTGATACGCTTAACTGAATTTCTTCTACCCGCTGTTTCTCCTCTAATTTTCTTTTTAATTTTTAGGTTTCGCTTTGATGGTTTACAACGATTTACGAATAAAATTTCATGTAATACAGCCATTCTATTCTTCTTTTCGCGCACCTGTTACTTAATTTGTTATAATCTGGTTGGTAGCTCGTATCTTATTTTCGACCTAAAGCCAAATTTCGCTATTGTCTCTTATAATGTCTGCAATACTCGCACGACCTTCGCTCTCTTCTCGTTTCGAATGGACGATTCCGCGCCCTAGGCTAGTTAGCATGTCTAAATGGTTTTGGTAGTCTGGTCTCAAGCGCAGCATCTCGGGTATAATGGGCATAGCCTGGCTTTTCTAAGAAATGCTAGTAGGTTCGCGATTCATCATCGATCGAATCAGATTTTGGACCAGTCGAATGTTGGTTCTTGCTCCCGACTGCCTCAGGCTGTCTCACTTCGCCTCGCGGCATTCGGTACCACCAATCGCGGTTTCCTTATCCTCCTCGCTAGCATCGACATCATACAATGTAGGCACTAGAAAATCGTCAGGCTCCAATCGCTGCATGCATTGGTCCAGGTTGCCGTTTTATTTGGGATTCGGCCTCGGCTCGTTCGATCGGTTTATCGACCTGCCCCCGAATTATCGATTTTTGCATGTTTGAACAGTGTTCGCTCACTTAGGCATTTCTATTATTCAGCTTAGCCAGGAGCGGGGCCTCTATTCTCTTAGCGGTCAGTCGCTTTGCCTGTCCCTCGACTGCTTGTTTGCCCGGCCGGGCCTCAATTGCGTAAGAAGCGTGACAAAACGTGAGCCCAGTTCATTCGAATCGAAGCTTTAGTCTCGCCCGACACTCCAGTCCTTCATTCGCGGCTTCTCACCGACGGTGAGAGTTTCTTGGCAACCTTGCTGCTACGATTTTTCCATGTCACTTCGAAAAGATCTCCAGTTGAATAAACTGTCTGTGGGCGTCCGAGTCTCTTTAATAACAAGTGCACAATACCGCTATCAAGGTACCCTAGCAGCTATCAATTCAATCGAAGGAACACTTACTTTGCAGACCGTGCGCTTTTGGGGATCAGAAAATCGCTTGCCTTCATGTGGAGAAAGAAAAGGACCAGCAATCGGCTCTGTATTTGATAGTATCACATTTTGGGTGTCCAATGTTATCCATCTTCATATTTACGATGAAGGTACTGATAGCAACGGCCTTGGGGACCAAGCTGTTGTCAAGGCAAAGGTGGCTTCAGCGGCTCCTACGACTCAGGCGAGTGGGGACTCAGTTGGTAGGCGTCAGCGATCTCGTAATAGGAAACAAAAGAACTTCGTGAGTACTTTGGCATCCATATGCTCTCTTATATTTTACTTTTTAAGCGTGTACCTTATCCTATAGAGTCATCTAGCTTGTAGACACACCTAGGTTTTAATTTTAGTGGTCGAAAAAGGACCAGCCTCGAGCAGGCTCACCGTTGGAAGAGTCTAACCAGACTAAGGAACGCCAACGTATGCCAACCGGACAATCAAACACGACTGGTCGGATCAGTCGGCCAGGTAGTAGCCGTTCTGTAGGGCGCACACTCGTGTCTTACCCTCGTCGGGGAGGCGGACGCTTCCCTGGGCCACCCACTTATGTAGCTATGCCGGCCACATCTTTTATCTCCCCCACCGGACTTCGCAGGCGCGGCATCAGGGGTCCCCGTGGCTCTCAAGTCCCAGGAACTTCGGCTACAAATCAAGGCCTACTCTCGTCCCAGCCCTCCCAAGCAGTATCTGGCTTTTATCGTTTTCAAGGTCCGCACAACGGTGGACCTCCAGTGAATGGCGCTAATTTTTCAACT